GGGGTTGTCAGCAAATATAGTAAAAATTACTGGGGATTTCTGTTTATTTCTAAAGAGACATATTCTCTCATAAACGTTTCTAATCAGAACTTTTTATGATACTCTCCTTAAAGTCCAGGCTACATGATTGATTACCTGTGCCTAGTGTTTTGTATCCTCCAAATGCCTGAGGTAATAGGGTGGTTTTCTTCCAAAGTTCTTGATACTCATATTTTACTTCTGCTTCCCAACTGGTTCTCCCTCCTAATCAGAGTTGAGCCAGGGTGTTATTTCTCCTTGTTGTTTTCTGGGCTTTTTGGAAAAGGTAACACCGGCTTGGTTTGATGGCGTGACTGTAGGACCGTCAGATTCCTCCTTGCCCAGCAAAGATGGAGGCAGTTCGAAGACTCCGCATCCCCAGCTCCCATTTCCTGTTTCTACTCCAGATTGCCTCTGTGTGGTTTTAGAATCTGTTCTAAGAAGATTCGATCCCTCTCTCTGTCTACTTCCTAGTTTGTCAAAGGATAATTTTCTGTTGATTTTAAAGTAAATGCTTAATTAAAATAATTTATTCCATATAAATTTTTTTAACATCTCAGCTAGTTAAGACCTATTGTAGGTAATTAAAGTACATGTAACAAACTCATGTTGTTCCTTTATAGAATAAAAAGCTTTATCTCAAAATTATATGTTATATATAAATGTATTAGTTATACTGGTTTTTAAAGAAATGGTATTTTGACACCTATGGCATATTTAAGCAACTGCTCAAAATACTGTCTATGTTGCATGGTTTTAAACATCTTTTTTGAAACATGAAATCATCTTTTCACTTAGTCAAATAGAAGATACCAAAAAGGAATACTAAAATACCACAAATTCTATGTAGGCAGATCAGAAAACTTTAGAAGTTATTGAGGAAGTTATCTTGTTATAAAACTCTAGTTAGATATGCATAGGGCCATGCCTCCGAGGTGCCCAGTATCACCCCTAGGTTTGATGGTTCATAGGAGGACTCACAGGACTCAGCATATAGACCTGCTCACTCACACCACAGTTTGTTACAGCGAAAAGATACAGAGCAAAACCAGCAGAGGAAAGATGCAGGCAGCAGAGTCTGGAGGGAACCAGGCCCAGGCTTCAAGGGTCCTCTCCCAAGTGGAGTCACACAGGACGGGCTTAATTCGTCCAGCAGCAAACTGACAGTACTGTGAAATGCTGTCTATGGGGAAGCTTCTTAGAGGCTCAGTGCCCAGGGTTTTACGTGTAGGCATATTCGGTCTAATATATCCCCAAACTCCAGACTCTCAGACAGAAAGCAGGTAATCAGCATAAACTGCATTGTTTGTACAGTTTAGGCCAGGGAACCATTCTGGGAATAGTAGGAGCCTTTCCAAAATCCAAGTTGTCAGATGCCAGCCAAGTACCCGTCTTGCTATTAGGCATGTCTGAGGATAGCCAGCTCAGGCCTGCTTGGTAAGCCCTTCTCTGTGCAGGACCGAGCAGTGTTCTCATGAGAAAGCAAGAAAGATTAACAGATGCAAAGCGTAAAGTTAAATTTTCAGAATTGCTTCTAGATCTGTGGCTAAATTGGCTCAGTTTATTGATACAGATCAAGGTGATCACTTCTGAAATTCAAAAGTACAAAAGTAAAAATGACTACCCTTCAATATATTTCTCATTTGATGTAAAATGCTCATATAAGAAAGATACTGCATACTTTTTGCCAGGCCTGCATTTCGATATGAAGCAGTACTTTTTGTATATAAAGCAGTCCCTTGGCATTTGTGCCCTTAACATTTGGCTATTTATGAGCAAAACCTAAAGCCTGTGAGATGCCAATTTGTAATTATTCTGAGATGTAAATGTGAATCAAGGCCTCTCTGTGGGAAGTCATCAGTAAGTTGCCCAGTGAACCTACTGACCCATCTCTGCACTTCAGCACTCTTTGTTCTTGTTATAGCAGCAAAACTTACTTACCAGTGCTGCTGATGCAAGTAAAACATTCTAAGAAAGTTGCCAGGAAATAGAAGACTTTGGTAAACTGAAGAGTGGAATTTGACAGGCTTCCAGATCCGTGACATCGTAACACTGTTTGGAAACAAGACAGCAGATATTAGTTATACTGGTTTTTAAAGAAATGGTATTTTGACACCTATGGCATATTTAAGCAACTGCTCAAAATACTGTCTATGTTGCATGGTTTTAAACATCTTTTTTGAAACATGAAATCATCTTTTCACTTAGTCAAATAGAAGATACCAAAAAGGAATACTAAAATACCACAAATTCTATGTAGGCAGATCAGAAAACTTTAGAAGTTATTGAGGAAGTTATCTTGTTATAAAACTCTAGTTAGATATGCATAGGGCCATGCCTCCGAGGTGCCCAGTATCACCCCTAGGTTTGATGGTTCATAGGAGGACTCACAGGACTCAGCATATAGACCTGCTCACTCACACCACAGTTTGTTACAGCGAAAAGATACAGAGCAAAACCAGCAGAGGAAAGATGCAGGCAGCAGAGTCTGGAGGGAACCAGGCCCAGGCTTCAAGGGTCCTCTCCCAAGTGGAGTCACACAGGACGGGCTTAATTCGTCCAGCAGCAAACTGACAGTACTGTGAAATGCTGTCTATGGGGAAGCTTCTTAGAGGCTCAGTGCCCAGGGTTTTACGTGTAGGCATATTCGGTCTAATATATCCCCAAACTCCAGACTCTCAGACAGAAAGCAGGTAATCAGCATAAACTGCATTGTTTGTACAGTTTAGGCCAGGGAACCATTCTGGGAATAGTAGGAGCCTTTCCAAAATCCAAGTTGTCAGATGCCAGCCAAGTACCCGTCTTGCTATTAGGCATGTCTGAGGATAGCCAGCTCAGGCCTGCTTGGTAAGCCCTTCTCTGTGCAGGACCGAGCAGTGTTCTCATGAGAAAGCAAGAAAGATTAACAGATGCAAAGCGTAAAGTTAAATTTTCAGAATTGCTTCTAGATCTGTGGCTAAATTGGCTCAGTTTATTGATACAGATCAAGGTGATCACTTCTGAAATTCAAAAGTACAAAAGTAAAAATGACTACCCTTCAATATATTTCTCATTTGATGTAAAATGCTCATATAAGAAAGATACTGCATACTTTTTGCCAGGCCTGCATTTCGATATGAAGCAGTACTTTTTGTATATAAAGCAGTCCCTTGGCATTTGTGCCCTTAACATTTGGCTATTTATGAGCAAAACCTAAAGCCTGTGAGATGCCAATTTGTAATTATTCTGAGATGTAAATGTGAATCAAGGCCTCTCTGTGGGAATTCATCAGTAAGTTGCCCAGTGAACCTACTGACCCATCTCTGCACTTCAGCACTCTTTGTTCTTGTTATAGCAGCAAAACTTACTTACCAGTGCTGCTGATGCAAGTAAAACATTCTAAGAAAGTTGCCAGGAAATAGAAGACTTTGGTAAACTGAAGAGTGGAATTTGACAGGCTTCCAGATCCGTGACATCGTAACACTGTTTGGAAACAAGACAGCAGGGTCCAGGCCATACTTTGAGGGAGTGTCCCTCTAATGCCAAAGTTGTTCATCGAGTGAGCAAATAACAAGTGACAGGCAGTTCACGGAGGAGCGGGCACGCGGCTCCGAGAACCTTGGCAAGAAAGCCCAGAAGCAGGTGCATGTGAGGGTGGTGAAGGTCTCAGAATCGTCACAGAGGCTGAGAGTCCACTGGCTCTTTTGCACAGCCATTTCATTTATTTCTGTTCACTTGGTTATAAACACATCACTTATATAGACTGGAGTCCGAAAGGCTAAATATTCCAGGGCTACCGCTGATTTTCTCACTGATTCTAGTGAACTTCCCCCAGGAGGACAGCAGTGCCCAGGCTATTGTTAAAACAGCTCTGCTGCCGCATGGATAGGGTTTGCATAAATTGTGGAAATCTACTGATATATGTAGTTCCTTTCTGCTTTGTGCAGCTTTTTTTTTTTTTTAACACAAATTATCCCATTTATCTTCAAGTAGTTAAATGAGAACTGTTGTACCTAGTGTTTCTTTCATTAAAACATCAAAGAACTAACTGGTACTAGCATGGGATGTTTCAGGGAATACCTTGTTCCTTCCTCACTGACTCTCATGCTGTGCTTTTTGTGGTTATGTCCTCTAGCCATTTGCAAATATAAAACTGACTTTGCCTCAGACTTTAGCAAAAAAACTCTCTCATTGACCTGTAAGTGCCATCTTTTGGGTGCTAGATAGGACTTATGCCAGGTATCTGCCCAGGTGACCCTTATTTTTTTGCTGTCTTTTTTTTATTTACTTTTCAGCTAGTATGTACCTACGAAATTTCTTCTCCCTTTTGGGTCAGAAGGGAGATTGAGAATCATTCACCATCAGGATAATAATCTACACAAAATTCCTTAATGACATCTTCCAGTTAACTTTTTCCTTAGCTGTTGACTTTTGTCACTGTTCTTCCTCCTGCTGGCAGATGCTGATCTGCTATGTGATTAATACTCATTTTTATTAAATAACTACTTGGCAGTTATCACTGAAGTACAGTTTATATCCTTATTCTTGAAATCCACTTTCTTTTCATTAAAATAGGATTAGAAACATCCAGATTTTTGTCAGCATTTACCTTTATTCTATTCAAATGTAATTTACAAAGGGTTTAGTGGAGGAGATTCAAATTGATCTTTAATTTTTACAAAGATATTGGTCATTAAGACCTTGGATTAACTTAGGCATCTGTTACCTGCAGTATCCCCTATTTATTTGATGATGTAGAGGAAAGTGAATTATTCTCATGAAATAAAGACATCTAAAAGGTACTTCTGAATAGAATCAACTTAATATTAATTGCTAGATTTCATGTTACTAAGGAATCCACATAGTAGGAGTGCTACTCCAAAAAATTTCCATATTCTTTATATTCTCTTATTTAAGCTGACATTTTCTCACTTCATCTCGTGTTGCATATTAAAGATTCTAGTGTACTGTATTTATCTCATCATTTTTTCTTCCCCTTGAAGACTCACTGACGAGGCCCGGCGGCTCATCGCTGAACTGGGAAGCACGTCCATTACCAATCTTGGTTTCAGAGACAACTGGGTCTTCTGTGGTGGGAAAGGCATCAAGACAAAAAGCCCTTTTGAACAGGTTAGTGTCTTAGACTTCCATAGTTAATGGACAAGATCAAATCGTGTGAAACTGTATGGTTGTCCATATTCCCATCCCAGTTTCTTGAAACTTGATTAAAGCAGACGTTAAATATGTTCACATATTTTTCATTAAGTTCTTGGTAATCAATTACTTGAAATAACGATGGTACTGTTTTAATGACAAAACTTAAAAATAGTAAAACTGCATGGGAATTTTTTTTCCTACATGGCCGTGCTTTAGAAAATAATTACTTTAAGCTTTTAGGAAGTGTTGGTTATCGAACAGTCTAATTGAGCTTTTGATATTATAATCAGTATGTTTGGAAAGACTTTAAAACGTAGTAGAATGTATACTTTTTTGATCAACAAATGATCTGCAATGTTTTGTTCTTTCAGCTGTTATTTTGAAGGTCTGCCAAGCTCCAAGGGCAGAGCTCATTTAATACCTTCAACAAGATATTATAATTTATATGAGCTCATTGTTGACATGAGTGTTACTGAGATGAGTGTGCCGAAGTGTGTTACTGCAGATAAACAATTCACAAAGGTTTTTAAAACTGTATACTATTATTGTGTTCCAACAGCACATAAAGAACAATAAGGACACAAATAAATATGAAGGATGGCCTGAAGTTGTAGAAATGGAAGGATGCATCCCCCAAAAGCAAGACTAATATGGAGAAAATTGGAGAAAGCGCACTTTCACTATTAAAAGAGTTATAACAGAGAAACTACATGTAAATATTTTAAGAGCATGCAGCCATCTCGGTGTGTGCATGAGCATTATCTCTCTTTTGATATCAGGATTATTTATTGCTAACGTAAATAGATACCTTTGTAAATAGTCATTGTAATGAGCAAATCACTGAACCATTTCTAAGCACATTTCCCTAGTAATAGCTCAATGTTTAGACGGCTCTGGTAATGACATCTTCTAATTCTGAAAGCATACCTAATGGATATCTTAACAGATTGTGAAAAGTATATTGACATATATACTGGATGCTGTGAAAATCTGTCATGGAATAATATGGATGTTAGGGAGCAGACTTTGTTTTCTTTTATATATATTGCCTTTTGATGATAGTATGTTTTAAATTAAAAAGATATTTGGCTAGTTGTCTGTGTAATGTTACTTTATGGTCTGACTCTCCTGATGTACCTCTTTCTTAGTCTTTCTCTTCCCTTCCCAAGAAACCTAGAAATAAAACCTGTATCAGATATGGGAAAAGCACAACAAAGTTCTTTTTTTAATGTATACAATAAAGTAAATACAGAAATGTAGGTGGCATACAGGACTAAAGCTGGCTCTATTTTGTGTTAGCAGTGTTGAAAAACTTAATTTTGTATGAGCTATTTACAGTGAGGTTGGAGGTGGCAACTCCACAGAACTGGGGAAGCGGGCCAGGTCCCTTCCTCAGCCTAATTTGGTAATTCAGGACAACCGTGTCAGTGTATTTAGAACAATACTGGCATATATTTTCCTTATTTGATTGTTACGGGCATTGACCAAGTGGTTTGGAAAGAGACATGCTTTAATATCACAATAATTTTGATTTGTCAACCAAGAAATTAATTTTGTATGTACTTTATCTAACTTCGTAATAGCAATTTTTGCCTGAGATACAGTGACATATTTAGAAAAGTCTTAATTACTGAATGGACTGATAAGTTTTTAAAAATAATTTCATTTGATCCAGAATGACTTTACACCCAATTTTACATTAAAATATAGGCTATTTAACTTTTCGTTGACTTCAGATGCCTGATTAAGTGACTCAAGTGATTTTTTAGGACATTAAATACCAGTTGTGTATGAAGTTTCTTAAACTGGAACATAAACTTAATGATCAAACTGCCATTCACAGTAAAAGGCAGCACTTAAATTTTGAACCTAAGTTTTCAATAACTTCTATAAAAAACTAAAAGCAGTGTTTTTTATTTTGCTGTTAACCAAGTTGGAAGCTATTCAGCTATTTCTTAAATATTAATGAGCTTTGGGGTACTATTTCTTCACTCAAACTGAATGTAATTCATGAATAAATCCACCATACACATTTAAACAATTTTTGTAAACTTTTCAGATTTTTGGTGCTTATATGCTAAAATTACATTCAGCATGTATATTTTGACATTTAAAATAATTCCCTCAATTCTGTAAATTGAAAGAATAGCTATTCTTTAGTTCCAGGGATTGTGAAATAAATAATTGCGGTCTTTTTTTCTTTTTTTTGATTATGAAAATAAATACTCTTGGTTTTGCGCCGTGAATTTTTTGTGTTATCTGGCAAAGTGATACACCTACAAGCTTCACTTTAACATTTATCAAGCATTTATTGTACTGCTTAACACGCTAAATTTAAGTCATTCTGATGGTTACACACACCGATACCCTCAGTAATATGCATAGAATTTAAGTATCTAAATGGCAGGACATCCTTTTCAAGATAGACTGTAAAATGATAGCTCTGTAAAGCTGTATAAAATGTCAAAGAAGAGAAAAAGATTGGTTACATAATAACTGCTTTCATGTAGCTTGCTTTTATCTCGATTCTGTCTTCTATAAATTGTGCCAACTTAACATTGGAAGCAATAATTTTCTACATTTCATTTTCAGATATCTTTTAAAAGTCAACATTATCAATGAAACAATGCTCATTTAATGTTAAGAACTTTTTTTGCTAGAATCATAAATTTGGCATTGACATTTGGATATTTCAAATGGTGTGTAAGGACTTTAGGGTGCATATTATTTAGTTGTAATCACATATGTTTTCCAGAACAAGTATATGCCTGTTAAAATTAAGCAAAGAGAATAGGAAAATAAGTGACATTTGGGAAATTAAAGGAAAATTGAGCCAGAGATTTCATAGTCCTGACTAATTTGATTAAAGTAAAATTCCCATTGTTCTTTCTATATTTTGTATTTATTTTGAAATGAATCAACTAATACTTTATGATTTTCTGCCAGATGAACTTAATGCATTTAGCCTGTATTGCACTTTATACTTTTGACAATGTATATCAGTTATAACTTCCCCCCAAAAAGATAGTTTCACTCAGTTTGGTTGATATGTCCCATTTTTAAATGAAAAAAAAAAATGAGAAACATGCTGTGTTTAATTAGCAGAGTGGTCAAAAGTAGAAATGCATTTAGAATACTTTTTTAAATGAATATGAAAGGGGAAAATTGCTTGTGTTAATTAGGGAAAAGATTTGCCACGTAGCCTTTTCAATTAGGCCTTGGACAGCAATAAGTACTTATAAATTACCAGTTGTAAAATAGAGAACCAGACTTCACCTTGTGCAAAGCATCCCTCAGAAGAATTCTTCTGTCTCTTCCCAGGATAATTTTTCTATCGTATACTTGGGTTTTTGATTGTCACATGCCAATGGCTAGTTGATTCCTATCTCTCTGGAGGCTCCCTCAGTGTAGACCTTGACCTCTCCTACAGCTTGTCTCCCACCCGCACCCCCTCCCCTTCTAGAAATTCCTGTCAAATCAAGGCTAGATAGAGAAAAAGCAGGCAGGCCTGGTTTGGGAGTATTCAGTCTATTACTCCACAGCTTGAAGGCAGCATGGTGAAAACTTCCCGGGAATCTCAGACCCTCCAGTTCAGTAATGGAGCCACAACTGGAGGGCTGCTCTATTAAGGAAACACTTTGAACACTAGGCTGCCTCTTCTAGGAGCAGTCAGAAAGGAAAAGGGACTGGCCAGCCTCTCGGTTAGAGACGGAAGAGAGGTTTCTCTTTGGTTTGTTCCACGGATAAACAATATGGGGAAGATAATCTTCCCAGCACAACTAGTTCACAAGTACAATTTGCTGCCATTATTAAACTCAATATTCAATTCTACATAAATTATGCCCACCACTGGGGTGCATCAAATATCAAAAGAAGTTGGGACCAAATTGGTGAAAGATACTCCCTTTTATTATGGAAAATTGATTTATGAACTTGCAAGTTCCTAATGTTCCATACATCCAGCCCATATTTGTTTCCCTTGATAGAGAAATCAGAGGCCTAGTGGCTTAAAGAGAAGAGAATTCTGTGATGAGAACAGTGTGAGAACTTAAGAGGCCAGACTTGCCTGAGTATGCTGCTCTCTTCCACTGTGATTGCATGAGGACCTTAAGAATTCCATCGCCTTACCTGTAAAGCAGGGGGAACAGTGTGTGTGTGTGTGGCACCTACCAAAGTGCCTGGCACACGCTACCCATTAAATACAACTGTATGTTGTTTTGTTACAGCAGCTCCAGCCGACCAAGACACCAAGCCAAAAGGAGTTGGGTTGGGTGGGTGAAATAGGTGAAGGGGATAAAAAGGCACAAAATCTCAGTCATAATGTAAATTGGGGATGAAAGTACAGCGTAAAGGATGTAGTCAATAGTTCTGTAACATCTTTCTGTGTTGACACATAGTAACTGCACTAGTTGGGGTGGGCATTTAATAATGGGGGTAACTATTGAATTGCTATGTTGTGTACTTGAAACCAATATATAATATTGTATGTCAACTATACTTTTAATTCAAAAAATACAAAAAAAAGAAAAAAAACCATTAAATGACTTGGGCAGTGAAGTTGTGGGAGAGGATGCAGCTCTTCATGAGCTTCCCCTTGATTTCCAAGCCTCAGACTGTATTTCACCTGCCCTTTTCCTCAATCTGCTACCTTTCATATGCTGAATTCGAGCTTTTGTCTATCTCTAGGCAGTGAGCAATTCAAATGATCACCTGACATAGTTGCACTTGCTGGCCTGCCTGCAGGGACAAATGTGAAATTATGTGCCAGTGGCCAGAGTCAGGGAGTATTTTTGAATTCACTGTGTCAGCAGCAGTCGAGGAGCCTTAGGGGAGCAGTGTGCTGAAGCCTCAGTCTGGAGAGCAGAGAACAGCAGTCCTCAGTTCCTGCTCCTAACAACCAACCACCTACCTACCTCTTGCTGCCAGGTGGGGAGGGGCAGCCGTCAGGTCAGAGGAAGTCCGGGGAAAGACAGCTTGCTCAGCACCATCCACCCTCTTGCATGCCGGCATTTGCTGCCTGCTCAGAGGGTTCCTTACCACCCCTCCCTCCCACCCCCAACACCCTAAGCGTTGCCCGGCAAGAGGAATCTCTTAAGTGGGACTCTAGAAACATTTTTTGCTTTTGGGGAGTTAACACTTTCTTATAACAGTATGTCCATTACTTGAAATTCATACATTTGACTTGCAAACACATTTTTAGCAATGCATTATGCACTCAAATGCCATCCTACCTGTCTGTGGTGCTCTTGCTACTCTTAGGATGGGATGCTCAGATGAGCAAGCTCAGTACTGGGGTCAGTGAATTCCCTGCCAATCCTTAGCCTTCCCAATCACTAGGGGAGTAAGAGGGCCAATTTGCAAATCGGCCTGTTGAATGGAAGTGCTCTGTTTTCCATAGGTTTGCCCCTTAAAGCACTTTCCCACCCCTGAGGATCCTGAGTTTTAGCTAAGAGCCAGTATGAACCTGAGAAGTTCTCCTATCCTAAAACTGAATTTGTCATTTCACTTCATCATTTACAGATGTTCGACATAGAAATCTTTTTAATTACTTTACATTTCAGCTCAAAAAAAATTTTTAGCTTCAGCATACCCTTATATATTGGAAACCCAATTAGAGACGTGTGTTTTATTTGACAAGAACAGAAATGAACTTCAAGAAGAATGTCTTGCAAGTCCAAGCTCTGAGCATAGCACACTTAAAAAAGCAAAGGATGCTGAGAGCCATAGTTAGGTATAAATCCAGTTCGTGGAGAAGGCAGTAGTCCCTGGGAGTTGTCATTTTTCATGAGTAAGTCCTAGTTGACAAAATGCGAGAGTCAGTTGGTGAGGATTTCCTTAGGTGTGAGGAATGAGCACCGGGCCTTAAGTCTGGTGCCCCCTTAGCAGGGGAGCACAGCCTGCCCTGAATGGCTTTCTGTTCTGCAGGCAGAGGACCTGAGGTTTAAGGTCAGTAAATGTGCTTATTATACTTAGATGCCCATAGAGATCTGAAACTTTTGACCTGGGAATGAGATTGAAAGCCAATTCCTGTGGAACTGTTAACACCTTGCAAGGGGGTGTGTTAAAATTCTATTATGGAAGCAGCAGACTCATAGAACCCAAGAATGGATTAAGTTACCAAAGGGAAAGGGACTGGGGAGGATGGGTGGGAAGGGAGGGAGAAGGGGGAAAAAGGGGCATTACAATTAGCAGACATAATGTAGGGGGACGGGCATGGGGAAGGCTGTACAACACAGAGAAGACAAGTAGTGACTCTATAGCATCTTACTACGCTGATGGACAGTGATGTAATGGGGTATGTGGTGGGGACTTGATGAATGGGGGAGTCTGGTAATGTTATTGCTCATGTAATTGTAGATTGATGATACCAAACAAAAACAAATGTACATGGGAAGGGACCATAGTATTTTTTTCATTTTTAATTGAAATAAAGTTGATAAACAATAAAAAAAATTCTATTATGGAAAGAGCCTGTTTGGAGGAAGTTGCCTATGATTCTCCAGCACCAGGTGTGTCAGACATGGGTACAGTGACAGGAGTTGTGGCAATTGAAATTTTGAGATTGTAATTCTTATATATAGCCAACAAATTATAAAGTAGTTTCTCCAGAAATGATAAACTGGCCATGTGGAGGAAGAAAAAGTGTACAAGGCAGGAGAGGAAAGAATTTCTCATTCTGCACACTAAGATTTATCTTTCAGCTTGTACAATTATTTAGCCTGTCCCCATTACTACGGGTCTGTTAAAAAGGATTTACCACATTCATTTTTTCAGTTTTGCCCTTTTGCTGGCTTGCCTTCCATAAAGCCATGAGGAATAAAAATTGTTTGCCAGCCAGTTTGAGATGAAGAAATTACAATGGATAGGGCGTTGAATTTACACAATGTTATATGTCAATTATATCTCAAAGCTGGGTGAAAAAAACACAAAACTGACAAAAAAAAAACCCTTTTTAAAAAAGAAAAGCAGGAATTGTGTACGAGAAACAAATAGGTGGTTGCTGACTTACATTCTGTATATTTACATCTTTCTTTGGTTTAGAAAGAGTTCAAGGTATGTTTAAATATGCGGTTAAATTCGGTGAATTTCTTTTTTTACCTAAGAGTACTTAGGGGCTACGAGGAGCCATCCTTGCCTTTTCTAAACTGACCATGGCCAGGTGGATGTGGCCACAATCGTGGGTGTCTGGTTGTTAGTAACACGCAAAAGGGGAAGCCTCTTGACTTCAGGGCTGGTGAGTCCCTCCCGGACTGGCAGAACGGCAGTTTGACAGAGGGAAGTGGGCAGCCCTCGATCCAACACTCTCTCTGCCTTTCCAACTCTCACACATGAATCAGATGCTTCTACTTATGTAGATTAAAAAGTCATATATGAAACCTTAACTTGTGTTGACATAGTCCACATTTATTATTACTTTCCCTTTACAACCAGTAGGGGAGGCTGCTTTTCCATCATGGTTTTCTGTCAAGAGGCTTTAATTCTGCAGACCACCTCTGGTGGTTTCTCTTTGGATGTGAATGTAAATCATTACCAACAGCAAATTTTGTCCCTCTATTAAAAATGACACCTTATGTAACAACTGGCTATAAGCACTACCATATAAAAGATGTAAGTATTTGTTTAATGTCGCACTAAATTAGCTTGATCTTTACCCCTAGTCATTTCCTTTTGGAATGATTGTTAGGCCCTTGCATAATCCAAAACGGTTGGCCGCATTGGGATCTGAAGTAGCAGGCACTTTGAGTCACTTTGAGCTTAGACATCAAGAGGCAGTGTACTTTAATTATATCTCATGGCAAATTCTAAGGTCTCTGTTCTCTCCTCACTTCACTCCTCCTTCAACCAAGTTTATATAACCAAACCATGAACGGACATCCTGTCATTTTCATCATATTTACAAAGCCCCCCAAACTCACTAAATTGTATACTGTAAAGTCAATGTATTGACAATTTTGGTGCTGTGAGAGGCAATATGATATGATACGATGTGGTGGCGAAGGGCCTCAACTCTGATTAATTTATATGATTTAGAACAATCCCTGGTTTAGGTAAGTGCTATCTAAGTGTTTGTTAACATTTTTTTGTCTTTCAAAGGAAATGAGTCCCTGGTGCACCAGTGTCCCTTTCACGCCATGTCACATGCACTGGTCCTTACGACTTACCTCATCATCCTACTCCAAGACATGTTATGACAGCACATCTGGTCTATAGGGAGACTGAATTTTTTTTTAAATGAAGGCATCTTAGCCAGCTTTCCTTATGGGATTGTTTTCATGGTTCTTGGAGATATGATTTGAATTTTTCTTCCTTCAAGTCAGCCCAAGTGGCTGATAGTATTTTGGATAACTGGCTGTCTCCCAATGGTTGGTTTAACTCCTCGGTCTTTGGTGGCCTTTGAGAGATGATACGAAAAAGAACAGCAGCTCACCAAATTGGCTAGAAATAAATATTTTGATGGAAAGCTTTTCTGGTTTCACATTTTTAACTAAGAAAAACCCAATATATCAGTACTGACAGGAGTTCAGAGAAGTAGAGTGTGTTTCTAAAATATTTACTGTAAATATCACATGGTTACAAAGCTACAGAAACACATAGTATCATAGTACCAAACTTACATAATTAAATTCCATTCTTATTCTTAATATAACTATCATAGTTTCTTAAAAACACAAGTATCATCCAGATCATGAAGAAAGAACGCAGTTGTTTATATTCAAACATATCAAAGTGTTTCTAATGTTGTGGAAAGCTCTATCAGGGAAACACTTTAGCCACTTTCCTTCTCCAGAGGTGCCATTTGATATTTTTATGGACTGCATTTCAAGACAGTCATCACTGCCTCTTGCCATTGCCTCTAGCAGGCTGTACCAAATTTTACAAAAAGGTTGAAACTCCTGAGTTTGCAATTTCTATTGCTTGCAACATAAAAGCCCAAATAATGCAGGCAAAAGCAGCTTCGACTGAATAGGAAAATTTGGGCTCCAGAACTTTTGTTCCCAGAAGCACCATGGTGCTACCTCTACCGTGACAGGGAGGAAAAGAGCCAAGGCCAGTTGCAAGCCAGTTAAACAGGTGAGGTGAGAAGTTCAAGGATGACTTCCATGGTAATGCCAGGGAAGAAAAGGAAAAGAAGAACCCAAAGACAAAGGTTGGGAGTTAGAAGTCCTGCTCAGGCAACCCAGAGAGGCTAGGTGAGTTGGCATCACTGTTTTTAAGCAATGGCTGATGGCTGACGAGTAATCAGGTATTTGTGAATTAGAGGCTACCTGATTCTCAAAATTGGAAGGTGAGGGAATTACGGAAAGTTCTCTAGTCAATAGAAGTAATTGGCTATTAATGCAAACTATTCTTCATCTTTTCAAAAAAGAGTGCTTATTTTCAATGCAAATAAAAAGATTTATTTTGAGAAAAAAAAGGGCATGAGGATAAGTATCTCTCTTGCAGGATGCTAAAGAATAGTAAACCATGCTTTTAAATAAGCACAACCTGTGTTCATTTGTCACTGCTGAGGCTCTCCCTTAGTAAATAATAATTTTGTTAAATTTTAAGGGTCACCGTTAAATGCCTCAGACCTAATATTAAATTCCAGGTTAAACATGGGTTTGCTCTTTTTCACAAATTATTGCTCTGCCTTGGTAAATAAAATGGACAGGAAACAAAATGGGACCTGGGGTGCCAAGAAACATTTCTTTGGCATATTATGAGAAAAAGCTTTTTTTCTTTGTCCATTCTGAACTTAATTTTTTTCTATGTAATACTGATATATTTAACAATTCATAAAAAACATTAAGCTTTTGCATGAAAATACAAGCTTAATATAGCCCTATAATTTTCAAAAGAAACCTTGTAAAATAGGATGACTATATGTGTATGAACACTAAAACAGGTGAAGTACTAAAATGGTTGAAAGATCATTCAACATTCAAACGGAAATGCAGCATTACACAAAATAAATATCCAGGAGCTTAGATCCACAAATTGATCATTATTCTGATTTAGATTCTTTTTTCCAGTTAAGACTTTTGCTAGATAATTTATTATAATAACCTTAGAAGTTAAGCATATTAACTAATTAAAAACAATTTAATCTGTTGAAATAACACAATTCTCAGTATTTTGCAGCATATTTTAATCTATAACATGTAAAACTGTCATTTTGCAAGAAATACACATCCTGTAACTAACTGCTCAATTAACTTCCTTTTCACCGTCGGAAAAAAAAATCAGAATTAATAGCATGAAAAGAAACAAGTTAATCTTATTTTGGAGATAATTTTATTGCCTTAGCTTTTGGGCTTTGGCAATAAATATCTTAAGTTTTAATATATATCATATAACTTAAATAGTGTATTTACAAAATATAAAACTTTTTTATCAGCAAAATACTATACAAAATACTGTCTTTACATATTTAAAAGGGGTTTTTCCTTACAATGTATGAGAGCCCTTTATATTTTTACCATTAATTTTCCCACATGCTTTTAGGATCACTTCCTCTCCCATTACTCAAGAGCTTTTTAATAGTGGAAACTGGTCTATGATTAAAGTATAAAGCCAAAGATCAAAGATTGAAATTTTTCTAGATAAGTTCTCCTGGTTTAAGGCACTTAAAATCTCATACATTTTAGTTTTTACATTTTGATTCTTCCATTTTGTCATGAACACCTCTAACCAACCCCCTTTTTAGAGATATTGTATCAGTTATGAATTTTCTTTTTAATTGCCCTTTTGAAATGCATGAAAGGTAAGTAAGCACTCACCTCTTCTGTTCTCAACATCTGTTTCTATGCACAATTTGTATGATTTCTTCATCTAAAATACTGAGAAAATAAATGAGATTCATGTTTAAGAATAAGTGGTAATAACTGATGTTCACCTACCACTATTGAATTCCATAGTCAAGGATTATATCCTAAGTGTGGACCAGGTCTCCCAGCAGGAAGGCGCTTGCTTATTCTTTCTTGCTTAGGAGACGGGTATCTTACTTGCATATCGCTATATATTCCCAAACCACCAAAAGATGAACCCAGACCTTTCCAACTTTAGAATCTCAAGAAATCCACATGCTCGCTGAGTGACTGGACGTCGATCAGGTAAAGGGAACTCTTAGAGAGGCCCACAGATCTGAGAATTCCGAGGCAGGAGTCAACTTCACCAGCCCTGCACAGTGAGAGGCACCCTCAGGGGAGCAGTCCTGTGGTCCGTCACTGAGGAGTGTTTTCCAGTGCCGGCCGGCGTGGTTACTTGCAAGTGTGGACGTCAGTCATGCTTTCACACCTCCTGCAGCGAACATAGCAGCACCAGATAAACTTGCACTCGCACCTCTCCACGTGCCTGACCACGTGGGTGTTGTAGCCACGGCCACAGCAGAGGAGGTTGCAGCCACCAGCGCCCTCGGACGTTCGGTTGCATTCTCTGCCTCGGGTCCCTGGGATGCCTAGTTTCTTATCCTCTACGCAGTAATTGGGGGATTTATTAATGTAGAGCAGATCATCCTTGCGAATCGGCATTTTCCTCTGATCTTTCTCTTTCCTGCGCATTTTCTTCTTTATTTTGTCCGAGATTTGGACACTGTTTTCATATTTATCTTTCAACAAATGGCCTGTCTTTTCAAAAGAAGACATAGTTTTCCAGCATGTTTTCACAGCACAGGAGCCGGAAACTCCGTGGCAGCGGCAGTCTACTGACATCAACTTGGCAACTGCCTGAAACCAACAGGAAGCTGCGTTAAGTACATTCATGAAGTCTTTTACTCAACAACAAAGCATGACTCACCTAATCACTTAACTTTCTCGGTCTGTTTCCAACCATAAAAATGATGGTTTTAAATATAGAGGATCTTTAAGATTGCTTAGGGTTCAAATGTCTTGTCCTTCTGACTGTGCGGAGCAAAGCTTTCTACATCGAATTTAAGTAGTAGACCCAGGCTAACATGTTATCAGAGATTATATGAGATAACAAAGGGAAACTACTAATTTCTAATCTGCTGTTTAATTCGGGGTATGAGAAGCGGTTCATGCATGTCCCCATGGTGCCGATACCACTTAGCACCTTGCTACCCCGAATGCATTCACCTGGCAGAAGCACCAGTGGCATTTGTGAGAAATGCGGGTTCTCAGGTCCTACTGCCGACCTACAGTATCGTAATCTGTTTTAATAAGATCCTCAGGGGATGCCTACGCACATTACATTTCAGGAAAACAGAGAGCACAGTCCTCAACTCATAATGCATAGAAACATCTGTGCAACTTTACAAATACTCAGTGCTTGAACCCCTGAGACTGTGATTTAATTGGTGGAGGTGGGACACAGGCAGTGGTACTTCTCTCCAAAGCTGCTCAGATGATTCTAATGGGCATCCAAAAATGGAATCTACAGAACTGAGAGTTCTCAGGTTTGATCACTGCAAAATTCAGTACAATTACAGGGTTTTGGGGGGACATGGTATCTCCCAGGCACAGACCACATAAGAAACCCTGACTAATCAACTTCAGTTGGTCGAAAGGAGAAGGGGCTGCAGAGTGTGGTTGCTCCCAGCAAATTCTTCCTCCTTCTGGAAAATTAATTCAAAACATATGTCCTATTCTTGAAGGATCAGTAGCACCATCCTAACATAGAAAAGGGATAATATTTATATAAGTTTTCAATCCTAAGTGCTGAGTTTGGTCTATTCAGACTGAAGAATTAAATGAGATTACATATATCTGTAAGAGCCCACTGCCTGACACACACTAAGGTCTAAATAAATGCCCCCTTGCCCTGAAGAAGGTCCAGTGAGAACTGAGATAAAATTTCAAATGGGGCTAACAGTGCAAAACAAATACAGAGATTTCAAAAGTTTTAAGGTTCTAATCTTACATACCAGGCTAGTCGGCATAGCTCCCCTCAATCCCCAGAGGATGGCAGAGCAGATTAATAAATTATTGGGACTAGATGCAGAGGTGACGTTCTGTCAACGTGCTGGGTAAAATGAAAAACTGACCCATCCATTCCATAACTTGGAAATTATGTGTAAAATCTTAGTTGAGTAAGGAAAAACCTCACAGCTTAAATTCCACTTCCCATTCTTATCAAAACTATAAAATGACAGGGTTTTATATTTTGCTATTTTGTACCAAACTTGACACTGGACATGTTTGTTGAATGTTACATTTCCAAACAAATTAATAGAAGTTTCTGAACTATCTGATGAGGCAGAATATTTCAAACAATTTAAAATATTTGTAACCTTGACTGAGGGTGTATGGTATTGATTTGTGCAATATTTGATACTTATTAATGTTTAAAATAATAAACAGAATATTTAACCCCTGTCCTTTATTTTATACAGCACATGTGCTCTTTCTGAATTCATAAAACTGAGAAGTGAGTAGATATGTCTATTTCTTATTAAGTCAAGCAAAAGATTCTTTTCAATGATATGAAAACAATTTATAAAGTATGGCACACAAGCTTATTTGGTTAAATTTATGGCACTTGATACTCACAAAGCCTTCAATTCTTACAATGTCTCCAGGCAAATAAATGTTCAGATTAATGAAATCTGCCTTCTTTTGTTCAGATTTTAAGAGCCTGAAGGATATGATAAAAAGAGAATGCAAGCAATACTAGGTAATCACAAAACAAGACTGTCCAAGGAGAGCCGAAAACCTAAGAATGTATGTTTAATGCGTTTAAACTAGACCAACAGCCCATAGTCTTTGCTTTGTGATTTAAAGCTGACTCTCCCTCAGGAGCTTGTCTGAAGAGCCAACTTTTTCCTTTATTAACCAGTTCAGGCATCATAGTGTTGCCAATTGCAAATGGATGACAGAATAGAAACCAAATACTTACTGAATAGTTAATCCAGATCACTTAAACAGTTTTAACTCATCTTCTATTGGTAATCTGAATCTGGAGGAAGTAATAAAAACCACTTTCTTAAACAAGAGAGAGAGTCCCTGCTGGGAGGTCCATGGTATTGAGAGACCATGATCTGGCTGGGTTCTCCTCTAAATCCTGAGCCCACAACAGTGCTGGTCCACAAGAGTAACACACGACTTTGCAAGTTTGAAAGATAAAAAGAGAAACTGACTTTTCCCAATCCAATGATACCAACTGCTAACTCTACATCAGAATTTGGGGGAGATTTTCCTGCCACAGAAAATGAGAAAATTTTAAATGCCTGGAGTTAACTATAACTCCTCAGGGATGATATTGTTCAGAAGTTTTATTCTATTACCTTTCCATTCTATTACCATTTGTCCTTAAAAATAAGTATAAGAAATAGTATTTTTATCATATATGTATATACACATATATATATAAAATATACATATATAATCTAGGATAGAAAGACAAACCTCAAGGAGAATCTCAATAACTTGACATGCAATTTAAATAATTATACCATCATAATATCTCAGGGAAGAAACTTGGGCAAATAGGGTTAAAATAAAGCAATGTAATCGCCACTAGGAGAATTTGATGAAATGCAGTGTTCACAGGCAGACACACACACACACACACACACACACACAGTTTAACTCTGCAGAGCTCAGTCTCTCAGTGCACAGTCCATAAATTATTTTACTTGATTTAGTTTTATAAAATAAATATCTTGCACATAGTAGATAATGAGCATGTACTTATTTATCATTCCAATTTTATTGAAAAATAAGCAGCATGATCAAGACACTTATATAAGGGAAAAAAGTCTTTAAATGCAGCAGGAGACTGTTAGTAGAAGGGAGGGAAATAAAAGTGGAAAATGCAAGTATATTTAAAGAAATTGCATGAACTTCTCCCAAAAAGTATATTCTGGAGTGTTTTAGATCAGATTCTTAATTAATGTCAAATAACCATTCTGAGCTGCAGTGATAGTAGTCATTTTCTGTTAACAGGAAAAGTAAGAGCATAGCAACTGAATGAGTTGTGTGTGGTTATGAGAAAATTCCTTTCTCTACTCTAGTTGAGTTGTTAAGGTTTATAACGATATTAACAGAGGAATGTTTTGTTAACTATTACAAACAGATGTGCACATTTTGGTGGAATATTTTTAAACTATGGGAGAGCAATTAGGAGGGTAATATTTAATCTACTGGGCTCCTTGTGTTAAGTTTTGGTTGTTAATTTCTATGGAAGTGAAATAGGAAAGATGTATCATTAATACTTAATGTAAAAATAGAAACTGCTTCGGAAGTGGTCTACCAAGTGATTGGTCCCATAATTTTGACTCAGAGGCAGCAGCAGGCAATGATTGTTTTCCAGCATATTGCTTTATCCAAACTTTACAGAAATGGCAAAACAAAAAACAAAAAACAGTTGTGGAACATTTTGTTGATGAGTATTTCATTTTGTCTACTAACAAATGATCTATTTAAGTTTTTGTGAAAATTGTGACGTACAGTGGGATGGCTGTAAGAATTCTTATTTCTCTGACCCATTTTTTCCCCATTAGTCCAAAAATATATTTGAACCTGCTGAAAAGCAAAACACTTCTGTGTTGTTCGAGTACTTATAAATATTCTTGAAACAGGTCAGTGAAAACTTGGGGTCAGGCCCTTCCCACTTTTTTGAGTTACTCATCATAAAACAAATTATGGGGTTGGAACATTTAAAAGTTTATGAGGTGGACATGGGAAGAATGGAAATATTTTGAGCACACCAAAAGAAATACCCATAAATATTCCAAGTCACATTATTCCCAGAAGTTCTGCCCCTGGAAGACATCAGATCATTGTTAGCCAATCACCATTCGGCAACATTATTCTTGGAGTCATAACTTTAGGAATGGTGTCAGAAACCAAGAGGGAATCAGAGTATTTAAGGTCAGCGGTTAGAAAATCATCTACCCTGCTCATAAGCACTACTAAGCGCCAGTACCCACATTTCTCTGAATGCTTTCCTACATTTTGAGTTTAGGATTTTGAGACAAGGAAAATCAACTCAATTGAATGCAGACCTTGAACTTTCCTCAGAATAATATGCCTATTAGATTAAAATCCTAATTGTCAATATTGAAAATGGAGATGATTATTCTTCCATGTTAGATAATAATCTGGAAACCCGGTTGGTTTTTGTTGTACTGGTGGTGGTGGTGGGGTTTTTTTCTTGGCCACCAATGGAAAGAAAAATACAAAAATGTTTTGAATTGGAATACTTCATGAGAAAAGACCAACAAAAATACGAGTGTAGTAGCCTCAAATCTCCAGGTATTATTTTGTAATATTTTAAGATTCCATCTAGATCAATGTTAAAAAACAATTTCAGTAGAGAAAACTCTGAAATGTACACAAAATGTGTATACATGCATAGGCTGAATTATTGTCTGTGTAATTGGAATAAGGGCAAAAACCTCGGTAATGTGAGAAGATTGTTTTCTGCCAACAAGTGGTGGGTTAAAATTGATGCCTCATAGTTCTATGTTTTTAATAAAATCAGAATATAAATAATAGTTTAAGATCAAAATTAATAGTTACAGAGGCAAATATTGCTACTTATTTTGAAAAAACACACCGATGGAATAAAATAAAATCACTGCCTAATACTACTAATAAAAATACATTTTAGAATACTTTTGGTATTTTCATAAGTTCGGAGATGACTTTATTCAGGGAATTCATCATAAGAATTTCCAAATTTTGTTTCTGGTTAAAAACTTTTCATCTCTACCAGATTATTTAAAGAATGTTTAAAGAAGAGTTAAAGTCTACATAGATAATAAACATTCATTTGAATCGTTTCTTGTTTTCTAATTCTAATCTGACAATGTTTTTCTTTAGAGTTTTAAAGAGCACATTAATTACATTTAACTTCCTTTATATTAGTGTTAGAAATAATAAAAATTCCTTTATTGGATAACATTTAAATTAAAGCAAAAACTCATTCATTCAATTTTTTTTAATGTAAAACTTCAAGAGAAGGTGTGCATAAGTGTGGGGTTAGGCAAGAGTTACTTTAGTAGTGAGATAAATAAACTTTTTAAATTTCTAAACAAAAATATGAAAAGCCTGCATTGTTTACTAACTTTCCTTTTTTCTATTTTGCCATTTTGAATTAAAACTTGAATTGAAAATTCAAATTTGAATTTGAATGTTATGGTGATATATTTATTGCATGTTTTGTGTATTTTAACCCAAAGTAGTTAAGTAAAGAAAACTGGCTGAAAGTTGCAACTATTCTGAGTGGGGTGCATTTATTCACTTTCCAAAAATGTAAAACAAATGCAACATATACTTTAAATATTCCTGAGAGATACTGTAACTTGTGTTAATTTATTTCAAGAGAATGTGGCAGATTGTAATGACTACTTTGGGACCTTTAAAGGATATTTATAATATTGGATATTTATAATAATATAGGATATGTACTGGTATTCCTGCCATGAAAAGATTATTACAACATAGAAAATATGTATTTAAAAGGTTACAACTGTTTTTAGAAAAGTCACTATGAATTGCCAGGTAATTCAACTATGTTGTAGAACTCAAACTTTATTGTGTCAATATTCATTAAGGTAAGTAATATAAAAATTAAATTAAGCTGTAAGTTTACTCCATTTTAATAAAACTTAGTATAAAACAGTTAATTACACGGTGGTTCTTCAAACTTGTCTCCCCCTCAATCTCTCATATATCTGTATTTTTAAGTATCCATATGTTTAATATATCTCTAGCTTCTTTACATTTATCTTTTTTTATCAGTTTTCACAATGAATCTATACTGCTTTATAAGAAAATAACTATTTTCCCTTAAAAAAATTTTGTTTTACAAAAAAGTATTAATTAATTAAGAGTTATGTATTCCCTAATGTACTCAACAATGCTTTGCTAGAGAATGTAAGGACAGAACTGCTACCATGTTTAGGAGACACTGCCTGCTAAAAAACAGATTCAAAAAAATTATCAAAATTCAATTTGAGGAAAAGAAATTTGATTCCATCCTATTAGAAAGGCAGATACTGTAGCTCTTATTCCAGCTCTGCCACTAACCAACTAAGGAGGTAGAAACTGAATGAAACAGCAAGCACTTATACATCTACTATTTACAATTAGTGTTTTAAGTATACAAAGTATACAGTCACAAGTAATTTCTATTACAAGATTAAACTCATATCAAATGAAGAACTTAAGCTAAATCAATGTGGTCAGTACAGGCTCATGAAAGAATATATATATATATGTATATATATATATGTATACATGTATATACACACACATATATATGTAAAATATGAACTTAGTTATACATATATAAGAAAGATACATATACAATAATACATTGTGTGTATGTGTGTATGTGTGTGTGTATGTGTGTGTGTGTGTTTCTTAGACTGCAAGTGTTTGTTTTTTAAGTCATTTGGATAGATTCATCCAGAGTGTAATCCTAGTGTTATCACCTAGAGGCACTGGATTTCGATTCCATTTTCTAATACATACCTGTCTTCCAGCTTCATTGTTATGTAGGTTCATTGCTAACATTACTTTGCTTTCTTTTCCTGTGGTGTTTCTGATGGGAAAATCTAGAAACTTTCTGCTGAACCACATGCCATACTGGACATCATCGGAGCAGCCCCCCCAGTGCCAGCCTTCACTCGCTGAGCCACCATTCTGCAAGGTGGTGTCACAGGAACATTCCGTCATGTTGCCTGCACTGCATGACCTGGTCACAGAATGCACAAGGCCTGCAGCCATCACGGCATAAATAAATGCTGTTTCCTTGGTGCCTAGAATAAAACATAAATTGCTAAATGAAAGAGCCATACCACTGTTTGTGTTCATAATAAAGCCTCCTACTTGATCCTCTTAGCAAGGAAGCAATTTTTAATTGCTTACAATGAATGGATGCTTTAATGAGTATGTATTCAGAAAGGATAATTTCATGTTCCAACCTTTTTAAAAAGCAACATTAATATTCAATATGGCACTTGCGGGTTTTTCATATATTGCATGTCATAAATTGTCCTCATACCTGAACATCATGTTTATTTTTCAAGTTTGAAATGTATGTTGTTAATACCCAGTTCACTGCTTAATACACAATAAATTTCAGTAAATACATGTTGAATTTAAAATCCTTTCCAATCAAACCATACATAGTAACACAATGCCCAGAGGTGTCTGGATGACCTTTCTTTTTAAATTTTAAATGATTTTTGTTTGTATAAATAATACATGTCAGAACGCAAATTAAAATTAAGCAAAGACCAAAGCAATTAGTAGATAGCCGTTACAATTTACTTTCACACCAAAGGCTGGTCTTTTTTTTTAGGATATCATGAATAAAATCACTAATATTAATATGAAACACAAGTATTGTATATTATAGCACTAGCTAAGCTTCTTATAGTCTTAAAACCAGTGAAAGATAATTGAAATATCACCAGCAAAAGACACAGCGGGAGACTTTATTTTCTTTCAAGATGTTTAGATTGGAGTAGAAACAATTTCACGCCCGTTGTCCAATAAACCCTTTCTACTGCTGATGCCTCTGCGTTTCGGCAACTGTGAAGAACCCATCTTTTTTTTTTTTTTTTTTTGCAGGGGGTCAGGGCTCCTTCGAAAGGGTGTGCCGGCCAAAACGCAGCGGGGCAAATAAATGCAACGCTTTGGCGGCGGTGTGTGTAGGGTCAGGGTGGGGAAGGGTAAGAGGAGGAGGGAGAAAGGAAATGGACGTGAAAAACAACGAATCCTTCGGCGCCCACTTCCTAAAATTCTTTGAATCTGCTGATAGCCTGGAACAATCCTGGTTCCCGGTCCCTTCATCCTGAGCGAGTCACCAGACACGTGGAAGTGGAACTTTGTTTCCCTGCAGCTTCCCGCGCCGCGGTGAGCGCAGAGGGAGCAAGAAGCTGGAGAAAAGAGCGCAGAGGGGGCAGCCAAGCAGCAGTGCTCGCGCTAGCCGCACGGTGGGTTGTCCAGGACAATCCCTCTTAAAATCACCGTTATTTCGTCTCCTGAGCGCTCTGAGAAGCCACGAACTTGGGGCTTCGCTGCAATTAGCCGCCCGTCCAGGCTCGGTGCGCAGCAGAGCCGCTTAAATCAAAGCAGATGCGGCAGCAGCGTTCCCGGCGGCCGACGCCGTGTTTCTCCAGCTGGTCCCCCACGGAGGGGGGCGCTGCGGGGTCCCAGGGGTCGGCGGGGGCATGTGCCAGAATTTCTCTCCAGCTCCGGCCGGCGCCGCGAGAAGGAGGGACACCTGCAGCTCCCAGCGCCGTGCTCTGGGCCTGGGAAGTCGCCCCCTCCGGCACCGCACCTGCAACCCGTCGCCCCCAGTTCCCGTCCAATAAAGGCCTCTTTTGGGATTTAGAGCGCGATGGAACCACGCCAGCACTATTTACTTCATTTACAGGAATTGGGGGTGTTGTCGCCCTCCGTCCCGCGTCAGCCCCGAGGGTCCCGGGGACTCACCGCTGCTCAGCTCGTAGCCAAAGAGGGGCTTGGTGACCGGCGGGGCGGCGGCGGCGGCGGCGACCAGGCAGTTCCATCTCTCGTGTCGGAACTGGTTCCTGCACTCCTGAATGCCCAGCCGGGCGCCCTCGCCGATGCCCTGCAGCAGGTATGGTTTCCTCTTGCACAGCTCCTTCTGGCGGCTGTTCAGCGGCAAGTTGGCGCAGCCCAGCTTCTCCGGAACCCCGAAGGGGGCGATGCCCAACCACCTGTAAGACACGGCCGCCCCTAGCGTAAGCCGCTCCCCTGCCCTCTTCCCCAGTCTCAGACGTTTTGCCGAAAATTAGGTCACCCGCCTTAGGGTCCGGGCTCCCCTCCCCCCGCCGCAGCTGTAAGTTCCTCGAGGCTGGCCGCCCCTATTGCCACATACCCGTGCACCCCTGCTGCCCCCACACTCACATCCAGTTTCCTTGGGCTCCGCAGGGGAACAGCGCGAGCAGGGCTGCCCACAGCGCACACAGGCGGGACAGTCCCAGGAGCGCCGCTCTGTCCATGGCCCCCGCATGGAGTCCCCCAGCCCCGGCCACTCCTCCTGTGCTCTCCCCACCCAGGGGCCCGCCAGGCCAGAGGTCAGTTCCCCAGCACCAAGTTGTCGCTCGCCCTCTATCTCTCTGCAGACAGTATAAAAAGTAGGCCAGCAGTGGCAGGGGCTCTCAGCCGCCGTCCCCTCGCTAGCAGGCCGCAGGGTGCAGAGGTGGGGAAGGTAGCCTGGGGCGCTCCTCTCGCGCGGAGCTGGAGGTGTGCTGGAGATGCAGGAGCGGCCCTCGCATTCCAAGGTGAGAAACTTCTGTTGCTGTAGCTGTGGCTCCATCGCCCCCGGCAGCTCCTCGCATCTCCTCCCCCTGGCCGCGCCGGGAGTCTGATTGGCCCAGCTGCGGCCCGCATCGCATCCTCCCGGACCTCAGGCTCCCATTGGCTGCGAGCGGGCCCCTCAGGGGGCGCTCGGGCCGGCGCTCGCCGACCGCGCGTCCAGACCCGGGCGTGTTCCTGACCTTTTTCCTCCGGTCGCAGCCCCTGGAGAGCGGGTCTCTGCGGGAGGGGGACTGATTCCACCTGAGACTGATAGCGACGCTTCTCTTAGCCACCCTGGGTGAAGGCGTGGGTCGAATGGGAGATGTTGGAGTTCCACCCATCCCGGTCGCTTTTGGATTAATTACCCTCTGGGTGGAGTGGCTGGAAAATCTCACTGCCCCCGTTTCTTTCCTGTCCTTCACCTCACAGGAGAATAATCTTTTGAGTCAGAGTTAGTACCAAACAAGTTGACCTTTCAAAACCCTGCTGGAGGTCTCCGTGTGTCAGAAGACTTTAGGGGCCAGAAGACGCGCCAAACGCTGTCTGGCTAGAGAACATTGTCATTTCTGCAGGCATTGATTTTTAGTGAAAGGAAAGGTTCCAGCCTACCATCTAATTTACCACATTTAAATGTGTTGCGTGATTCCGTTTTCCCGATTTGTCTTTTTCTGTGGTTCTTGAGAGCACTGTCAGAAGATGGAGGGCAGAAAAAGAAAGTGAGAACTATCCGGAAAGCTCTAGAATAGATGCGGGTCGCGTCCTCATCCTTCTCCCCAGTCCGCACGAAGCCTCTCAGGGAGACCTTGGACAGGGCTACACAGTGAAGACAAATTTTTATGACTTATTAACCACCTATTGTGCACCCAGTACTCTAGGCGTTTATGAAGACAAGATCCTTTACCTCAAGTGCACAAACCAGCCACGGAGACAAGTTTAAAACAAAGAAATTTGAGAGTGTCGATAAAAAAGAATATGGAATCAAATGAGGTGGAGTAAAATATAGCATACAGTGAGAGTGTAGAATCAAGTGGAGCCGAAGAGTTCGGAAGCAGGAGAAGGTCATGGTATCTCATAGCAGCTCGGGAAGGTTGGTTAGCTAGACCATTTCAGGATAGAAGACTGCTGAGGGAGCTTTGAAGGCAAGGGGGACACGCTTAGCTGTGGTATGGGAAAGCCCTGCCTCGCTTAGTTTCTGGCATTCCCTGCCCCTCAGAGGACTTCTGAAAGGTTAGCAAATTCCAGGGTGGGTGTATCAGCTTAATTGGTGCCAAAATCCAGACTTATTCAAATTAGAGATGGGCTTTACTTGCTTTACCCTCAAATAAAGAATTTTATTTGCTCATGTCCCCAATATCAGCCCAGAGCAATAAAAGCTCACTGAAATTCCCATCCTATTCCATTCATTCCTTTATCTAACAAATATTTATTGAGTGAACACTATGTACCAGGTCCTGAAGCCACATTGTAATTTTTAGAGTCAAGTTGATGATAGGGTATAGTTCCTTATCCAGAAATATTTTGGCTAATGGCTAGTGGCCTCTCTGGAAATCAGAGCCTTCATCCAAGCTCACTTTATTCTGTGAGCCTCTCCAGGGGAGATCATGGAGCATTTATTGCTGTACCCGGCCACCAGCCCAGTACAAGAGATCTTGGTTTTGAATGCAACGTATCTAGTGGATTAACATGATGAGGAACGTCCTGAGCAGGTACCTAAGTGGCGTAAATGATGAAATTCATGAAGAGACTTCCTTTTCAAAAGAATGGGGGAGGGGTGGGAAATCAATTTTGGGTGGGGGAGTGGAGAACATTAATACTTTAGACTGATTTTAGGGTCAATAGTAGTAGATGTTTTAAGGAAGTTGTTGGATTTTTTTTTCATTTAAAAATATATATTGAGCCTCTCTTATGAGTTTAAAGTGGGAGATGGTGCTGAGCTAAATGGTAGTGGAGTTTACATCCTACTTGTAAAGACACATGAGCAAGCAATTACAGTACAGTGCAGTGAACAGGGGGTGTACAGGGCGCCATGGACACACATGGGGGGTTATCTTCATCTAGTTTGGAAGTGAGGGGGCGGTCACTTGAATGTTGCCTTCACTGTTACTTTAGGGATCCAGCACTGTCCAGGCATCCAGATAAAACCTTTAGAGGAGTACTCAGAGTATTCTATTCTTAGAGGCTAAGACCACTGGGTCAACCACTTTCAAGTTCAAGACACAGTATAAAGGCCTGAGTACCATACCTCTTTTGTACCACCTAAGTAAGGCCTTTGGGGTCATTCTGTCCATGCCACTGAAGCAAAGGAGACTTATTTGCAGGAGTTGATCCAGCTGAAGAAGTAGGCTTTTCATTCAGTGACTAGACAATTGAGAGCCTACATTGGGCCAGGCTGCAGGAACTTTCATGCACGGAGAGCCTCCTGTGTGCCCCTGTGTTCTTTCCCTTTCTCTGTCTCTCTTTGCCTGTCTCTCTCTTCACACAAAATTTCAGTCCCCCTAAGGTTGATACTCATTTTATAGGTAAGGAAATTAATTCAGAGAGATTAAAAACTTACTCAAGCTCACTCAGCTAGTAAACCGTAGAGTAAAAAAATCAATCTTATTTTAAAGGCCTTGTTTTTTCCACTAGAATGTACTGCTGCATAATCTAATTCAAAACCTTTTTTTTTTTCCCCCTGATAAAATCCCAGAGCACTGGGCCTCACAGTCTAAAGTTTTCTTCTGTGTCCCACGGCTCTTTATGTCACAGTTCAGACACATCTCCATCAAAAAAAGTTGTTCCGTCCTCTGAAGATGAACAAAAAAACCATAGCGGGTGGGTCTCCTCTGAAGCAGCCTCCCTGAAGTGGGTCTCACTGAGGCAGATGTCAGCCTGCACAGACTTCCTTCCATCTTCCCACTCTTGGCTATCTGGTTTTCCTGGGCTGTGAGGAACAGCAGAAAGAGCAATGAGCTCAATTGGGTGGCAGGGTCTTTAGACAGCAGGTTATAATCTTGGGCAATTAAATGCAACTTTGAGCCTCACTTTTCTCACTTGTAAAATGATCAGAAGCTCTGTTTCAGATCCAAGTCTCAATTGGCATTCCCATAAGGCTGTGGGGAGGGACATAATGTGTGTGTGTATGTGTGTGTGTTTGTGTGCGCATGCTCGCGGGCGGCAGGGAGAACTGCATTTACTAATGGGTTTGGACTTCTGGTAGGAGGAAACCCTTGTCATGATAAGGACTTGTCTCCTTGAGAGGTGAGCCTCGTTCCCAGGGCAGCACACATTAGAGATTTTTGGCCCACATCTTCTATCTTCAGTTCTACTTTTGTTTCTGGATTTCAATTTAAATGAATCATTTTAATTGCAGAAGTATTTGAAAATGATTGAGCTTTAAAATACATTGGAATCTTACCAGGTTATATGAAATTTTATTTAGAAGATAAAAGAAGTTAACAAGATAACAGGATAAATTTTATTTATCCTGGACTATGAAAGTGAGGAGCTCTTTCATAATCTAATCTATATCTCCTCTTAATATAAATTTCTACTTTTCAGTAGTGAGGATTTTGCTCTCTCTTCAGAGTTGAGAAATAAAGTAAATGATGGGTCAAGCTCAAAGATCTATACAACTACACATCTCAAATTCTTAGTATCTTTGGTGCAGGCATGAGCCTCATTTCCTATTTATTATTTTTGATTTTATAATTTGGAGAGAGGACAAAATATTAACTGACCAACAGAATGTGACCTGGTGCTTACTGTGTCGTGCAATCATTCTAAGCTTCAGGTGCCCATATCTATGTAATATTGTAAAGATCATGCCATTCTCTGTCCACAATGAGAGCCAATATTATGTCACCTCATGATCTGAACCCAGCTACCTAAAATTTGATTAACACTGTTAAGAAAAGTGCCATGTGCCTTGAAGTTTGCACAGATTCCTGAGGCATCCTGTAGCTTTCTGATTCTGTAAGGAAGGCATGTATGTGAATTTGTTTTCCTAACAGGGGTAAGGTGTTTTGAACTATTTTCTGGAAAAGGATATTTAGGAGGGGGAGAGAAAGATTTCAAGCCTATTCACTTCATGCGAAGGAGCTCTCCTGAGGGACTGAGTATGACAGTTGTCATCTTTAACCAGCTGGGCTGACTGAACCAGATAAGTAGCTGGCTGGCAATAAATCCTACTTCCCACTCAAGACAGTCATAGATGATTTCTTGTAGAACCCTGAGGAGCCTGTTTCTCCTGGTAGTTTTCTTTCAGTCCCTGGGAAACTCAGCAAAAAGTCTGCCTGCAGAGATATGCCTTGGACTCTGCCTCTGGCAGTCCATCAGAGGACTAGACTTCTGAAGGCCCTGTTGTAAGAGTTTCTGCTGCAGATCACAGAGACTTACGTCCTGGAAACTGATACCAGAAGCACACCAGCTGGTCTTAACTCCTGGGAGAGAACAGAAGACCAAAGGTGACTTTTTAAATAACTGGGTCCTCATCCATTCTATTTTAAATTGCACCTGGATGCTACCAGGGTGGAACAGAGCTTGGACTGTGACCACTGGCTCTTAGGCAGGGGTGGAGAATGGCATTCTAGTTGTCCTGGTGTCCTTTGGTGGCCTGAAAAGCCTGTAGGAATGACAGATGTGGAGCAAAAGAGGAAACCACCTGTGACAGAACCAAGAGAAAGAGCAGGACTTAGAAAAAGACTCTGTCTTGCATTTTACATGTCCACAACTACAAAAGTGAAAAAAATTTTTTGTCTACCTGTCCTGGAAATTAAGGTTGAAAAGGCCTCATAAAGTGTTGCTATAATTTATCTCTAGTGGTCTGTGTGTGGATTATGCAATCTTTTCAACATGACAGGAAAAAGTAACACAATTCTTGACCAACAGGCGTGGTCATTGTTGCCCGAGGGCACAGGTAAGCTAAATACACAAAACTGAAACAGTGTTGATTTTCCCTTTTCAAAAAAAGTTTTCCTGGATTTTGTAAAATAAAACAGGTCCGTAAATGAATTATTGATTTTAATAAGGTATCAAGAAAGCTACATGAAAAATCGGTCATTAGCATTTTTTAT